GATCAGTGCGCTTAACTGCAGATTTACCATATATATATATATATATATATATATATATATATATATATATATATATATATATATATATATATATATATATATATATATATATATATATACATACATATATATATATATATATATATATATATATATATATATATATATATATATATATATATATATATATATATATATATATATATATATATATATATATATATATATATATATATATATATATATATATATATGCAAGGGTTGAATTAACTCATCGCGAATTGCGATATCTGTTAAATTATCTGGTCTTCAAAGTTTCAGTTTATGGAAAACCACGAAATTTACGGAATAGGCGAATAAACTTTAATTTGTTAGTGAAAATGTTATGAAAAACAAAACAATAAATTTATGACTACAAAAGTAATAATACTACAGTGTTGCTACTTTTATAACACTCTTTTAAGTTACATTTATAGTTTATTATCTGATCAAACAACACATAATCAAGCTATTATAAATAAAAATGATTTAGTTAAGTAATTCCAAACTTTAATTAAAGTAGTAATGCATCTAGAAAAAATAAAATGGATATTTAAACAATGTTAAAAACCTCAGCAACTTTTACGAATACATATTTTTATAAACAGTTTAGCATTTTTAAACATCTTACTCATTCCCTCCCCTTTTAATATAAGAAGTAAATTACCAGTGTTTTTATTGGTTGATTTTAAAGTGAACGCGCGTTTTTTCCGGACCGTTAGTAAGATGTTTAAAAATGCTAAACTGTTTATAAAAATATGTATTCGTAAAAGTTGCTGAGGTTTTTAACACTGTTTAAATATCCATTTTATTTTTTCTAGATGCATTACTACTTTAATTAAAGTTTGGAATTACTTAACTAAATCATTTTTATTTATAATAGCTTGATTATGTGTTGTTTGATCAGATAATAAACTATAAATGTAACTTAAAAGAGTGTTATAAAAGTAACAACACTGTAGTGTTATTACTTTTGTAGTCATAAATTTATTGTTTTGTTTTTCATAACATTTTCACTAACCAATTAAAGTTTATTCGCCTATTCCGTAAACTTCGTGGTTTTCCATAAACTGAAACTTTAAAGACCAGATAATTTAACAGATATTCCAATTCGCGATGCGTTAAATCAACCCTTGATATATATATATATAAATATATATATATATATATATAATATATATATATATATATATATATATATATATATATATATATATATATATATATATATATATATATATATATATATATATATATATATATATATATATATATATATATATATATATATATATATATATATATATATATATACATATATATAATTTACATTTAGTATTAAGTTATTCGGAATCGTTGTTAGGTTTGTGGCTAGCTTTATAATTTTTAATAAGAATTCGTGGTTTCACTTTGATATAATTTCGTTTCTTTATTATATTTTTTTTTAAAAAAATGTTTAACAATTTTAAAATTATATTTTTTTCTTTACAATAATTTAATTTCACTTTTCAACAACTTAAATAAAACTTGTTGATTTATTAAAAAATCGTTTGAAGTAAATTGTAAAGCGTTTTGCGTAACTTCAATAAAAAATTCAAAAGATAAGTTTTAAAGTACTCCCTCTCCAAAATTGATTATTGCGAAATTATTATTGTGAAATTGATTATTGCGAAATTATTATTGTGAAATTGCGATTCGCATTCAACTATTGAAAATAAATTAATAAAATACTGTTGCAATTTGCATTCAACTATTGAAAATAAATTAATAAAATACTGTTGCGATTTGCATTCAACTATTGAAAATAAATTAATAAAATACTGTTTGCATTCAACTATTGAAAATAAAAATACTGTTCCAATTTGCATTCAATATATAAAACTATTGAAAATAAATAATGTTTTTAATTAAAAATTATGTTTTTAATTAAAAACATTTTTTTATATAAAATTTAGATGTTTTTCTATAATATTATGAACAATTCATGGCAATAATTTTATCTTTTACCACCGCACCATTAATTTCTAAAACGAATGTTGTTTTTCTTATGAAATATTTTGTTCTGAAATAATGTTCCAGTTTGTTAAAAATGATTTATAAACTAAAAGAATTAATAACATTGTAACATTTTTAGTGGAAAAAAATAACATATAGTATTAGCTTTTAAAAAAAATTCTTATTTTGTATTAAATTATTTAATAGTGGTTAAAACCATTTTGTTTAAATACATGCTTAATAGATATTTATCCTTAATACATATTGTTTTTAAATCTGCAACAAATAAAGTCAGGAGTTTAATTGCTAGCGCTTTTATTGCATTTACTGAAATAACAATAAACTTAGATAGAGACAACATTTTGGTTTAAAAAGATTTCAAATGTGTTTAAAATGAATAAAGAAGATTCGCGTTAACTTACAAACGAGCAATGTAGAGTGATTTACAGTGAGCTTTAACGGACTACTAAAAAAAATTTCCTTTAAAATATTGTTAAAAGATTGAATGTGTGCACTAGGATGGGTCATAACTTTTTTTTTTTGTTACAGGCTCTAAACATTGCGAATAGTTATTATTAGTGATACTATCAAATATGAGAATGATTGTGATAGATTTAAAGAGCGCAAATTTATTGGGAAAATTACTTGTACCCTAATATTTTGGAGAAAAAAAGTTTTACAAAATTAGGTCAATATGGTACTCAAAAGAAGCAAAGTTTTTTCAAAAATTTGAAAATAATCGTTTTATAAAAATGATATTGCCGAAAAAAATTTTCATTAAAAACATGAAAAAAAAGGCACTTTTTTCACTTTTAGTTAAAAAACCATAGCTATTATGCAATAAAATCTAAAATAATAATTTTTATATGAAATTATTATTTTTGAAATTTTTATAAAATTTCGCTTTATTTGAGTGCCTAGATCCCATAATTTTGAAAAACTTTTTTTTTTGAATAATAAAAGGGCCTGCTAATTTTTGTAATTAAAGTTGCGGGTGGAAGACATTGTTCAATCCATAAAAGTAAATACTTTCCTAAATTAGTACATAAACCTTTCTAGACCATAGCCAGGTTAGTAACTCTGAAAAAAAAATTTTATGACCCATCCTAGTGTATATGCTGCTTGCTGTAAATGCTGCTCCAAAAAAACCTAAACTAATAAATAAAGTACCGCAAAAAAAGTAATTTGTATAAAAAAAGATCTTTTTGCAAAAGTCTAAATGGGGCGCCAGACCCCTCGGTACTCCCGTCGTCCTGGCGTCGTCCTTTTGGGAAAAAAAAAGAAAGTGAAATCGGAATGGTATTTCGGAACGGAAGGAGTACTGAAGAACGTTATGTATACGGTCTCTCGTTTTTGTGCAAGAGAGCGCAGTATTATATATTCTGAATCTTACTTATTTTTATTTAAACAATGGGAACTTTTTTCTAACTTCTATGGCTATTTTTACGCTATGATATTTTTTGTTTTCCCGTCGAAAAAAAGTATTTATTAACAATTAATTTCGTAAACTGACAGTATTAATTAGAGATTTTTGATGAATTGTTAACTTTTTTTATTATAAAAACTTTTCGGTTACGTTGATTTGTTTTAAATTGCTAAATTTGCTGAATTGGATACGGATAAAAAGGAAATATCATCTTATTTTACATTTGGTTTTTGATAATG